GGGGAGCGACACACTTAATTCACAGTTAATTCTGGCTTCTCGATGGTGGAAACTTTTTATCTTAACAACAGAAAAAGAGTTAAAGTAACGACGAAAATTCTTACTCGCCCACACTTACTTGCACGCGATGTCAAATATAGCCTCGGTATATTAAAGAATGATTCGAAGAGAGAGAGGAAAGATATTTCCATGCGCATGTTCGCGAAGTACAGATCTCATGTAGAAACTAAACCTTTGAGGTAACTTCATTATTACTTCAATAGCGAATTATGTATATCTTCGTGCACATTTATGGTTTTTTACATTTCAAAAGAGTTTTCGAAGAATTTAAATGATGTGACAAACCGCTAAAATAAACATTTTAGAAACTTTTTATCAAATTTTTTTATTATCACCTACAGACGTGAGAAACTTTACAAAATGATAAATCAATTTCTTCATTTATTTCAATTATCGATTTAAATTATTTATTCTAATTGCGTTTCGAAGATCTGTCGTATTACTTAAATTACAAGGCGGTGTACGAAGCTATCTTACGAATATCATTCGCAGCTGCGCCCAAAAATGACACGAGGCTATTTTCTCTATATATCGGCGATCGATCAACATTTTTTATGCGAAAGGACGCACGTGACATGACGCGGAAAAAAATTTGCATGCCGTCAACACCTTGCAGCGCATTGCGCCGTCGAAAACTATCGAAAAGTCATCCGATCGACATTAGACGAGTGCTTGCAAACGCAAACTGCGCCGCGCTTGTCGAACTTTGCGTGATCGATGGGCTTATGCTAAATTGTCTTCCTGGATATAACATCCGTTGACACGGACAAGAAAACATTCTTCATCACAGCTTTTCAACGGTCGGCCTCAAGTATCTCTCTGTGACATTGCAATTTTAAATGTTTAAAATTCGAATCATTGATTTTAAATTAAATGGAAGAATAAGATCTCTTTAATTTGTCCATCTTCATCATAAGAAAACTCTACCTTTATTTATCATTATTATTTTCCAAGGGAGCTCTCGGCGAGATTTTTAATCGATTCGACGCTTAATTGTCACGAAACGATGACATTTATAAAATAAAATACAATAATGTTTATAAAAGATTTGAAAATTCAACTTTTTTAAATCAACATTTTTGAATTCTCTTTAAGACAATAATAAGAAACTCCCTTTGTAATATCAAAGTTACTTAAACAAAAAATACTCCGCATCTTCTCTCTTGCAGCCCCCCCTTTTCCTCGTTTCATTCGGCGCGGTCTGTGCGTTTTTAAAAAGGGCGGAAAATCTGACTTTGTCCGATTCACCCCTGTTGTGACTCTTGGCGCAGCGCGACATATGTTACGTGCGTGCATGAGCGATACAACACGCGTTCGTGCAAACAGGGTTAAATAATACGCCCCGTGTAATTGCACACCGGCACATTGTACGTGGCTACAATATGCCGAGGCTACATCACGGGGGTGAACAAAAAAAAAAAAAAAAGAACAGAAAACGACGACCTCCCTTTATTTCTCTACAATCGTTTCTCTCTTTTAGAGGCATACTGATTGTTTCGATGTTACGCTAACTTTAATTATCTAACTCCCGATTTATGCCCGTTTCTACCAATGTAGATTGACTTTAATCTCGATTCAACTCTCGTTCTTCATCTTTTTCCAATTTTTTACAACTAAGAGAGAAGAATCAAGAATTAGTTGAATCGAAATTAAACTAATTTTTGATTCTTTTTCAATTAAAATTACACCACGTATAGAAATGGGAATTAGTGACATTTCGTTCCTATTTTACAATATTGGGGATGTAATGTAATGAAAGAAATCAGAATTAATCAATCCTTTGTACGTAGTTTACGTATGACTCTTCGTACGATTACTTTTCGTAGAAAACTGTGAAAACTGAAAAAATCCAAGCATCCATTTATAGGAAAATTTGCTTCGACTGAAGGAGATTCAGATTGACTATCATGGGTTGCTGTCGCGGAAGACGGCGGCAATAAAATCATCGGGCAATAAAAATGTTATGACAGGCCAAGGCGCTCGCGTGTTGGCGCGGCGAAGGGCGGACTATCAAGAAGTCAGCCCTACAACCCGATCCGAGAAAAAGAGAGGGGAAAAAAAGAGAGGGCGAGAGCTGGTGGTTACGTATAGTCCTGGTCTCGCGGGTGTGAGGGTCTCGAGGGTGCGGTGAAATTGTAGCATCATCCCGCCAGGCGATGCTCTAGCTCTAGCCGGCGGCGACCGACTGTGGGGTTTACTGCCGACGGTGGTTTACCGCCGCCTGGGTGATGCTCTCCACATCGGGGCGCGCTGCATTATTGAGCCTGGGAAACGGCCAGGTGGTCCGGGCGCCCATCGGGTCCGTGACGGGCTGCGGAGGGTGATTGTGGGAGGGCAGGCGAGAGGCGGTAGCCCTGAGGGCCTGCGAGGGGACGTAAAGTCACGGGAGAAAGAGGGTCCGCCGCCCGTCGCCCGCCGTCGATGGGTCGCTCGGAAGACACGCGACCTCCTGGCTCCTCGACTTTGTGACCGCGCGCGGGAGACACGCTCGTGACTCGCTCTCTCTCTCTCTCTCTCTCTCGTCGATTTCGTCTCGGCCATTACGGCGCGTTCACGAAGATGGCCATCGCGCCAAAAATCAAGAAAGACATCTTGTCCTGTATAGTCACACGTTTTTTACTACATTCTCATTTTTCGCGCCCTTCCTTCATTCATATTCTCTAAAACTTTTAAAGTGAAAGCTCACCCTGGAGAGAGTGAAATCGCACTCTTAAAGATTGAAAATTCAGTCACTCCTTTACAAGACTAGCTCTTTAGAATTTTCACTCTCTTTAGAGTGAGAGTTCATTCTAAAAATTTAGAGGGTAGAACAGATTTTCGGAACCTGGTTATTCTTCGGTTTATAGTAAAATAGGAACGATTTAGAGATAATCATATTTATTGTTAACAGACGAATATTTTATTCTTAAATAGAAAATTCTTAAATTTATAATGAATCTTGGGCATCGATTTCATGCCCGACTATAGGCCAGTCGCCAGAGGTTTTAAAAAGGAAGAAATTATTTACAGGTGTTTTATTGTTTCAATCGACAGTTTGAAGTATAAAGAGACTAAATTTAAATGTGCTCCAAAATAAGATAAAGCGATCATTCTTAGTATTACATTGCATCGTTGATGTAAAACAATTTATTTTTATTTTATTAATGTTAGATTTGTTAATTATCAATTCATTATACAAAAAAAAAAACACTTCAAACGATAATATATGAAATGAACGAATTTTGTAAAAAAAGTGCCCATTTTGGAGCTCGATATCTCTGGAAATATTAATCGTATTGAGTTCAATTTAAGCTCATTTTTTCGATAGGATGTCTACTTTAAGTTATCTTATGTCACTTTTTACTTTTTGATGCATCTAAAACAACGTAGAGATGGCAATAATTGAAAAAGTACCTATTTTTGCCATTTTTTCAAGAAATTTCACTTATCTTCAAACCGCTGTATCTCCTGTTCTATTTATAGTACATATCTAGTTAAAAACTCATTTTGTTGGAAATTTCAGCCACAATAAAAAAAACTGTCTGCTGTCATTTTTTGATATTTCTTTTCGTTTTTGAGTTTTAATAAAAAAACCAAAAAAAAAACTTTATTGCTTAATTACTTCCAAGTGCCCCCTTAATATTGTAGCACTTTTAAATTTAGTCTTTTTATACCTCAATTGTCGATTAAAACAATAAAATACGTGCAAATAATTTCTTTCTTTTTCCCCGCCATTTTCATCTCTGACGACTAACCTACTATGGCGCCAGCAATGAAAAAGAAAATAGGAATTATATTGATCTAATCTTAATATTTTTTTACTTTTATATTGCATATAAGGTTGCAATAAAATTAAGTCAAGAGAATATTTTTTATCTCATCAGAAACCCATTCTAATAGGATTTAACTATAGAATATAATTCAAATCAGAATTGGATTAATATAATAAAAAGCAACTCGTTTTTTGACATCCAGAAAGTCTCTTTTCGTCAACACTCGAACTGCTGAATTTTGACTTGAATAACTCAACGTCCCTGTCAAAAACTATATTTTGATTAAATAAAATATAGAAATTTCACGTTTAAAAAAAAACACACAAACGTCGCATCTGATCGCGCTTAGGCCGTTAAATTGGAATCGTCGATTTTACACGGTTTTATACGGATATTGCACGGCTCGTTAAAATAGTGGAGAGACAGCCGGCGACATGATCGATCGCGCGAAATCGCCAGTCCTTCTCCGCGATATTACTCGCGTCGAGCTTAAAGCGACCGCAATCGGAAAGCGATGCGGAATCGACGATGTCGCGAGCGATGTTTAGCGATCCTCGCTATCGCATTATGTCGCGCAATATGCAAAGTGGCGCGTATCTCCCCCCCTGGAGAAGCCTCAAGTGCGGCTATAGTAGCACGTACTTCCAGCAAGGAAGTCGCGCAAGAAAATCCCACGGCGGATAATGAGAAGAAGCGCTGGGTCTCCTTCGCGTATGCATTTCTGTTCGTATAGCGCATGCATAATGCAGAGACGCTCGTAGTTGTGTCAGTGACTCATAGCGATATTGGCTGCAACGTATTACCGTCTCGTCGTCACTTTAAAGCACTTATGTGCCAAGGGGAAATATCGTTCTTCTCAAAGCGGCATTTTAGCGCGACCCTCAGACGTTCGATTCCACGTTTCAGCAATCTTCTTCGAGACTCGAGCTATACATTTCAAGGAATATTATATTAATAGATAAACGATGCTAATTATTCGCAATAGTAGAATACATTTTGTTGGTCCGGTTTTGTTTTAAACTCTTTTTACAGTTAAATACTAACGTATTGTACATAATAAAGACTGCTATAGTCCTTCGTTCTTGTGGGATGCGAAACATGCACGCTTCGTAAGTTAGAAATAAGCGTTATATGTATGATTGATATTTTCCATGAAGTCGATTTTCATTACGAACAGATTCGTCGAAAATGGACGAGAACGGACGTGGTGAAACACTGTGTAAAGTCTGCGGGGACAAGGCCTCTGGAAAACATTACGGCGTGCCGAGTTGCGACGGATGTCGGGGTTTCTTCAAGCGGTCTATCCGCAGGTACGCGAGGTAATTGACTTCTCGTCTGATTACAAGTAATATCCGTAAGTGATCTCGTCTCCCTATAGATTTGTTAATTGCTCTGCTATTTATTTCTATTATAACTGGGCGGCTTCGTTTCTTTCTCTCTCGGGGAATTTCTCAGTTTCGCAGCTCGCGAAACTTGAAATTGAAAGAAAGCCTTGAAATTGTTACGTGCGCAGGAATTTAGATTACGTGTGCAAAGAGAACGGACGCTGCATTGTGGATGTATCGCGGCGCAACCAGTGCCAAGCTTGCCGTTTCACAAAGTGTCTTCAGGTCAACATGAAACGAGACGGTACGTTTTGTCGGTTATTAATAGTCTTACACCCGTAATCGTAGTTCCTTCCTTATTTTAAGGACGGAGGAAGCCTTTATGAAGGATTCCTCGATTCTCCAAGGCCTCCTTGTTTCATCAAATGGATCTCAGGCCTGCCTTCTCAAGGAAGGAATATTTTAGGGATTTTAGGGAGTTTAGAACCTACTGAAGGCAGCATGTCATAATATATAGTATATGCAATCCTAATATCATGAATTACGAATAGTAAAGGTTATAAAGGCATTGTTAATTAAATAAAGTCGTGATTAAGCATTTTGCAACAATAATGGAAATGAAACTAATAGAGAATTTCATTGGACGCACTCACTGCGCACTGATGCACATTAAAATTATCGTACATACACAAAATAACGTAAATATATGTTTATAAATAAACATGGAAATCGACTAAATTGTAAAATACTCAATATATTTTATTGTACTGGTTAGGTAAAATATATATTTCATAATTCGAAATATTTGCATTTTATTTTTATACTCAAATTAAATTCAGTGTACAATGGCTTTAATATGCATCAGTGCTTCCAACCGGATTCGTCATAATGCTTATTATACGAAGAAGGAGAAAATACTTTTGACGCAGTTTATTTCCGAAAAAAAAAATATCGAATATAATTATCGATGCGACAGATCTAAATTAAAAGCTATCGAAAATAAAAAGACCAGTGTGATGAACTAAATTTGGTAGTTTGATTGGTTATGAAGGCTGCACTTCCTCCTCAAGGAAACTCGTAACCTTCCTTGAGAAAAGGAAGCTAATAAGGTTCCTTGTTTGGTCAAGGATGGTTTATAAAACGTGAAATAAGGAACAAGGAATCCTCATTCCTCAAAGAAGGACTATGAATACGGGTATTATTCTTCCTATGGTGGAAGAAAGCAAAAGGTGCGCAAAGAGACGAATTTTGTACAGTTCTATATAGTATATATGTAGTATATGTTATCTCTCTGTACATAGGTATGTTATCTCACTGTATATATACTGTGCCACTCTGTAACTTTGATTAAAATTATACAGTGAGACAGTTAAGTCAGAATGAAATTATATATATATATAAATAGAGAGAGAGAAAAATATACACTTATTCCTCCTAGATTTTTTGATAGAATCGCTCATGGATAACTCTGTCTCTAGATTGTTTATGTTCATAGCATAATGCAGACATTATCCATGACAATTATTATACTCTCTAAAATCTTTGAAGTGGAATCTCATTCTAAGGAGTGGCTCAATTGTCTATTTTTAAGAGTGAGATTTCATTCTTTAGAATTAGATCCCACTTCAAAAATTTTACTGTACATACATAAATTTAACTGTACCTTTACCTTATAATATCGCGATGGATTCTAGAATATTTCAGTTTTTAGCATCTGATTTTTGTCCCTAAATCCGTTTGTAATAATATATATTTGTCTACCACACGTCTTAGAAAAAAAAGAAGTACCATTATTGTGATACCTCCCGATTGCGAAGGCCGTAGAGCAGCACTCGATATGTTTGCACGGAAATATCCTGCGAAGTGTGGCTAAGCGAGAGATGTATATTCTATTTTCTGACAGTCGCAGAACTCTCTGGAATTTGACAGGTCGAGTTTTAACGGAAATCGAAATGTTTCGACATATGATTGCGGATTATCATATTTTCTTTTCTATTATTTGCAAAAAACTTAAAATTTTTCAAATTATAATCTCTGTTTTGCTAATCGCGGAAATAAGGCGTCAAATAAAACACTTGTTGATTTAATTTTGCGCAAAAAGAAAGAAAAACAAAGGAATTCTTGTGTGTCAAAAAAGTAGAAACAAAATATTTTTTTATCTTGTAAAAAACAATATTTTTTAATTTCTTCGCAAGACAAAGTAATTGAAATAATAAATTATATTATTCGTATATAGACGTTAGAGAGATATTAACCGCCCTACATTCCGTTCTACATGCGGGATAAGCTTCATATTCTGTATTGATACGCAAACGATGCGTTCCAACACAATGCAGAGCTTTTAGATGCGCTCAGTAGAATAGAATATATCCGTAAAGTGCTGCGAGTTGGATATTACAATGCACAGTGACGCCTCGGCTGGCGCGAGACGGAAGGGAAACGGTCTGGAAAAAGCGAAGTGTCCACACTTCGCCATCTCACATCCTACGTTCACATATCCGCATGAAACTCAATATCTCTGCTTACCGAACGGCAGGATCCGGTGGCGAGCGGTGTCAGAAGCAGCCTGGCGTTCACAGCTTTTGTAAACACCTCTGGCCCCCTTATGCGTCGAGCGATAATCCAAACACTTGATTGCTGAGATATCAATTAACGGAGGGGAGAGGCGGGAGGTGCCATTAAAGGGTCATTGAACTCCTCGCGCTTCTCTCCTCTTCTTGTGTAAAAACGAACATGCAATTGTGAAATTGTAATGATTATCTATTTTAATTTACGGAGTCATCTATTAATTTTAAATAATTATAATATTATTATTTTACAGGAATATTTATAAAAAATTTTATCAGTACATATAATGTTTATTAATTTAAATAAAAAATCATTCAATATTAAAGTGTTTGTAGCTAAATATATAGTGGTATATACATTTCTGAATCGAAATCTCTAATCGAGATTTTTTCATTTCAATAACTTCATTATTTTTTAGCTGTGCAACACGAGAGAGCACCAAGAAGCACGTCTTCTCTTGTTGCGGCGACGAGGAGGACTTCTTCGGGGCTGTATACGGGCATCCCGAATGTCTATCACCCTGCAAGCAGCACCTATCATCCCCTCTTGTACCCCGCGTTGTTCCCTTTCAAACCCACAGTACCAACATTCGCCCCGTCCGTCGGTAAGCAATAAATATAAGCGGTTCATTCAGTCCATATTTATTCTTTCCGTGATAAAAATATTGGATGTTGCTTGATAGCACATTTCTTGCCACGACCGTCTCCAGAGTCCTTGTCTATAACTACCGCCAAGGAAGACGAAGTTACCAGCTCCGAAGAAGCGGCTACTGTCGATGTCAGAATCGAATCGAAAGGTATGAATTAATTACAATAAATAATTTAGAATTTCTCATCACTGATTTCTATAACGTTCAACAGCTGTTTATCGTCGTTCCAACTCTAGAACGGATGTAAAATCAGTGTTTCTCGTTGTCGCATATGTAGTAGGATATTCAAATGGATTGTCTATTTGTCATAGAGGAGCTGGTAAGCACTCGCCTGGCGCCGCCAGTTATCACTTCGGTCTCATCGGAATACACCATGCAAGGTTTATCCCTTCTGCCAACTGAAAATATCTATGAGTTCGCGGCGAAATTACTTTTCTTCGCCGTACGATGGGCGAGAAGTATACATTCCTTTCTGCAAGTAAGCCCCAATCAAGTTTCCTCTTTTGTTAAACTTTTCAACATTTCCCTCCACAAAGATCAAAGCGAAACAACACAAAATATTATTTATATAAAAGAAAAAAAAATGTATAAAATTGAATAGGGTAATTTGAATTAATCAATTAAAAAGATAATGCGTAAGCACAATAGTTTTTTATACTCGCGAAAAAAGTAATCATGCTCTGTTGTTCTTTTCTGCAAGCTCCCTTACAGAGACCAAACTATCCTTCTGGAAGAGTCGTGGAGCGAGTTGTTTGTTCTGACAGCCGCGCAGTGGAACTTTCCCGTAGATGAGACCACTTTGGTGTCCATGGATCTGCCGACAGAGAGGAGGGAAGTTCTCCTCGACAAAGCGAGAAGACTGAGGGAACTTTTAGCAAAGTGCGCCGCGCTCAGAGTGGATCACTCGGAATACGCTTGCTTGAAGGCCATAGTTCTTTTCAAGGCGGGTGAGCAAATTAAATTCAAGCTTTGACCCCATCCACTTCTTCCATTTAATCGTCTTTCTTCCCTCGCTTTATTCATTTGAAACTCCAATTATAACTCTAATTGTAAGTATATTATAATTTCATATCTGTTTCTAACGTTAACGACGTTTTTTTGTGAATGGAATAAACGATTTATAATTCTCATCGATTGCTTATTTTAACTTTAATACAGCCCGTTTTGCCTGGTTAAAAAGCTGATGAATATAATTAATAAGTAACTCGGCAAAATCGACTTTCTAAATTTGCTTGGTCTATTTCAAATTTTTGTTTTTCACGCTTCAACTCTCTCTTTGATGTATCGTCCGATTGTTCATAGAATCACGAAACCTCTGCGAGCCGGGGCGAGTGTCGGCATTGCAGGAACAGACGGTAGCCGTGTTCTGCGAGAGGGATGCACGCAGGGTAGGTCGATTATTGCTGCTCTTACCACCCGCGCGTGCACTCTGCCGTGCTACCCTGCACGAGTTGCTGTTCAAACCGACGGTCGGCGATGTCAGTGTGGAGCGATTGCTGGGCGATATGGTTGGCGCTCTCAGACCTACCTAACTGTAACACTTAGCGCGAATGCGTCCGTTGCTCTTGGGATATCCGTGTCACGTTTTACCTTGACACTCCTTTATCGGCGATCAGTCGAGATTCAGAGCTGAGAGCTGATCATCTCGAGATATAAACTGCATTTTCGCGTTATAAAATAGAAATAAATTGTCCATAGAAGAAATTGCGCATTTATATGAAGAATCGAGATTTCTTTTTGGACAGCAACGCTTAAATATTCGTTTACATTCCTTAAAAATAATTCTTTAAAAAAATCTGCTACAGTATTGAACAACATAGAAATTGTCGATCGACTTTCACATCGTGTAAGTCGTTTAATGGGATTGATTGTTTTAGATGTTAAAAATTGTTGGATATTGAAATTGGTGTAAAAACTGATGGCGTAATTATTATCATTGAAATTATAGCTTATTATACTGTTGAACCAGTGATAAAAGGACAAATGTATTACATCTATACGATTCTACGTCATCGATATCAATAACTTAAATCTTAGATATCGAATCTAGTCCAGCAGCAGTAAATTTCTTGCTCTCTCTCTTTTGATGATGATAACTTTAATTAACTGTGCGATTGACTGAATAGTTTTCTTTTATGTATTATTTTATAGATTTATAATATCCAGAAAAAGAGCAGCCAATTAAAGCTGATTAGCGACGTCGAGGATATTCTAAATCGTAGATGAGAGTTAATTATAAGCAATAAGCGACGAAGATAATTCTTGTTGTCAGCTGGCTTATCGAATTGCGATATGCCGCGTTGGCCGTACCGATAAATACGCAAAACGGTGATAAAGAAGCAAAAGGGAAATGTTGAAGATATTTCGTAACGCTAAGTTTTGTCTGTCAGAGTATCGATTCACGATAGATAGAATTATGGCGCTATTGTTAACCGCATCAATTCTTTCCGTGTGTGTATGTGGTATTATATATACGTAAATGGGCTTTGCGCAATGTAATATTTATGCACTTTAAATGGACTCATGTGTATATACTTGTCCTAGATACAAATAACTTTACGATCGTTTATAGCGCATCGTATATTAGATGTAATGCGTGTTAAAGCGACGCAAAAACGCGTATTGTGTAATTACATAATTAATCGGATCTCGTTTATTCCATCACTAGTCAGATATATCCGAGGCGAGAAACAATCGTCGTCATCGTTTCTCTCCCTAATGTTATGTATAGTACTAATTCTTTGCGCTAGAGCGACTGAAAATTATCTAATTGCGAAATTAACAAATATTGTTTTTAAAAAATTGTTTTATCTCTCCATGATAATTGCAGTGGAATAAATTCTTTTAGAAAAGAAAAATTTTACATATACTTTTTTCTACCTAAGATAATTTTTTTTTAAATATAAGAAGCTGTAATTGAAATTATATCACGATATGTGAAGGACCAATAATATAATATAAAATATCGTAAAAAAAAATCTTAAATCACACGTGTTGCAAATTTTTAAGAAAAGGAAGAGATAAAATTCATCAAACAGATTGAAAGAGGATATTTAAATCAAAAAATTATTTTTATCATAAAATAAAATAAGTTATGAGAAAAAAATGTTTCGAAAATATTTTTTCACGACATATTTTGAATTTCAATTGAAATATCTCACACATCATTTTTACACAAAGAAAAATAATTTTGTAAATAATAATAAACTCATAAAGTCAATAGCACGATTAACATGGAAGGAACAATGGCGAGGGGATGACACACACGCACAGATAATTTTTTTATTAACTAGAATAATTTATTTTTCTCTCATGGTAGAAAAAGGAGAATGTATCTTAACTCACGAACTGCATTGTACTTATATATATACAATTACATACAATCCTCAATTGAATGTTACACATAAACTCATTACACATCGATTTCTCATTACTTCCTTGTCCTTGTGAATGCATTCCCGAAAGAAAGAACTGTTGTTATCGGCGGTCTAATTATTCAGCTGAGTTGGGAAAAATTGTTCCGATTACAAATGTAATTGTGTGTTAATTTGTTTTATTTTTTTTTTTGCGCGTGGATTGATGAGAGAAAGGAGACAGTGTGGAATAGAGTTTAAGAGGGAAAAAAAGCGGAAAGGTTTGCGGGAAATTTTCATACGAAGGATTTTTACTCGCGCGCATGTGTGTGTGTGTGTGTGTGTGTGTGTGTGTCCTGTAATATGCGTTGTATTCACGTATGTATGCGTTTACGGATGGAAGGAATTTACGGATGGACGTTAATTATCGATGGGAGTATTTCGTGACGGAAAGATTTCGAGGCTCACATTCGCATTATCTTGTCAGCTCGATATCTCCGTCTGCCGAATCGCGCGTCGCGATTCTCGCGCGTTTGTGTGTAACCATTCTCGGACAATTAAGATTACTGATAGCAAGCGGTAGTTGGAAGAAAACGAAAACGCCCGACCGAGCAGAGCGACACGGAGAAAATTCTCGATCATTGATTTCTAATACAAGTATCAGAAAGGGAAGTACATTTGAGTCTGTCGGGGGTGTGGTCAACTCAATTTTTTTAATACCTCAGGTATTCACACATTTCACTTTTATCGATAATGCGCGTATTTAGTATACATTACGTATACTATAGAATCTCAGATAAAAGATGAGATGTGTAAGTATGGATCCAAAGGTTTCTTCATATAAGATTATCGTAACGTTGTTTCGTTATTAAGACTTTTAAAACGTTTTGAAATTATTTTTACTTGAAAATCGAGATTGCTTCTCTACGTTTGAAATTCTGTGGAAATGTTCCATGCAAATTTGAATGCCTCAAATGTGTATCTTTTCTTCACTTCTGTTCTGCCTTAACTCTCGCTCGGCCGTTTTGCATCGTTTTTAGCATTTAAACGGATATTAATTAATAAATAAACAAACAAACAAAAAAGAAGAGAAAGAAGAGATCTCTCTTCGAAACCTATACTCGTGAGTTACTTGATTTCTTCCGTGATCCTGGCGCTCTTTATCATATATGTGTTATACATTTATATACTGTTCTCCTTAATAGCATTTTTTAACGCGCTTACATTCAAATAGATTTTTATTAGAGTTATACGGTTAATAATTTGTAATTAAACCTGATTCATCTGCATGTGCCCATTATTTTCTCGTTCATCTATTACACTTTCATTCTCTCTCTCTCTCTCTCTCTCTCTCTCTCTCTCTCTATTTTTCTAAGTAATCGGAATTTTCTCTTTTTCTTTTCGTTTACGTGAGGAATTGTTCTCGTTCTCGTTTGCCAATACTCGCTTCCGCACACGCTTCGCTTCGATCCTCTCTTTACCCTGATTAAATTGCATTATTGATCAAAGTAATCGAAAAAAAAGAAAAAAAAACAAGAAAAATGTAATATTAATGTAGTCTCTAATGATAAAATCAACTAGTGCAGTCATTAATCAATTGCAATAAATGACTGTTTCAATTATTGGTGCATCAAGCATTTATTGCTATTGATCTTCTTATTAAATATATCTGTCTGCAATCTAACGTTTGTTTGCACAATTTCGACAACGGATAATATGTACACAAGCGCATATGAATTTTTAAAAAAGTGGAAAATTCCTATTTGAACAACGTATGTTTCACATTCACAGGATCGATTGAGGACCGAAGTTCGCAGGCGCGTTAATGTTACAAAAAGAAAAATATGCGCGTACATCCGTGTTCACTGAATATCTCCTTTTCCAGGTTCTCTTATCATTTGAGTGCGCGATAAAAGTCGCCGACTTCTACCTTGGCTTTTCCTCGTGTTCTACTTTTCTCTATTCTTACTAGATGAAAAAATAAGATAAACACAACGGCATTTCTATTTTTCTTCAACACTAATATGTAAGGACAAAAAACTAACAGATTTCGGCATAATAACAAATCGTCGTGCGCCAAAAGCCCGAAGGAAGTTCCGAGAAAGCAGTTTTGAACAAGCCCGGATTTTCAAAGTACTCATGGTCCACTTTCCATGCGACTCGGCTTTCTCGCACTTTCTTCGCAAACTCGGAACTTTCGGACGAATTGGCAAACAGCGAAATATAACAGATTGTCGGCTCTGACGATCGTCGTCACGGATATTCTCGATGATTCCTTTTATTCTCACGAATCGATATTTTGTATAATCCTTGTTTCTCCCTCAAGAAAAAAGTTCTCGTTATACTATCGAAAAATCGATACTACTGACACTTTTTTAAAGAATTTCCGGAGAACTTGATTCCCGAAATAAGTGCAATACATTTGGCAGTGATGTCTCATTACTCTGTAATTAATTAACATTAATATTAATTAAAATTGTTTATATCCTCTATTTTCTGTGTTTTCCTTAATTCGGGACACAATATTCGCCGGAATTCCGCAATAATATCTGCTTGTTAAATTATTGATTGATTATTATCGTCTCTTTACGGAAATTTGTGCAACAATTAATACACGAAGGAACAGAGAAAAAAATTCCGTGATTGAGAATATCAGAAATTCTCGAGAAACGTCCGTAACTTTAGCGACCCTATACTATATACATTCGCGAGGGGGAGCACTCGCAGGACATCGATTCCCGAGAAAATGGGGGTTGTATCGAGTGCATAGGAGTGCTCCATCCCCCTCCCGGCAGAGCACGCAAACGCAATAATCTATTATCTCGTAATTGTTTATCGTCGTCGCTACGCTCGCACGTTGCAACTATTTTCTATTGTACGAGGGGGTAGTGGGATGTGGGGGTGGGGTTCATTTGCCTGTGTTATTAGTATAATTGTGTCGCGCGCGTTGGGACCGCTCGTCTCGTTTCGCACCGGTATCCAAATTTGCTAAATCCACTGGCGATGATAAGCGCAGAATCAGTTTCCTCCTGTGTTTCAAAGATAATTAAAGTGATACAGACTTGCCTCGGCCAATTTCCCCTGCACGTCTTTTTTTCCACAGAGGGAAAAGAACGTCTCAAGTAAATTTCTCGCGAACGGCATTATCGATTAGTCGTTTGCGAATGGAGTCATTGCAA